AAATAATCTTTTTACCTTTTCTATTCAACGTAGCAGGTCCTTCTTTGTTCTGTTTGATCCAATTAAATCAAAAGGGCACCTCTTTAATACTGCTGTACTGACATCAAAGTTGTGTATAGCATTGGCATTTGGCCAAATTTGGGACATCACTGGTCTGTCATGATGTGTCTGCTGCTTTGGCAGACTGTTTGATTAAAATTATAGTTGTCTAACCCACCGATTATCTTTTAAAAAGAAACAGTTCTGTCAGGTTGTATATACTGTTCCATGAAAACAAAGTCTGAGGAAATGCTCTCCTAGTAGCTTTTCAATTGGAAATAGAACCCCTGGAACATTCTGCTGGGGGCTATGTGACAGTGGCAAAGCAGATTCTCTCAAGGAATTCTTAGTGTTTTTAGGTAAAGAGCTAAGGCTTACCTTATTTAATAGACTGGACAAATACATAATGTACTCTGTTAAGTATAATTCCCCTCCATGGGCCCCTGAATTCACAGAATTTTATTCAATATCCTAGTGCTAGTGCTGTAGTGACTTTGTAACTTTTAGGGTTTCCAGATGGGCATCATCTTAAAGGAGGGTGTACACAAATTTTTTGGAACGAGTTTAAAGATAGTGAGACATATTTGATTTCTTTTTCTGTTTTTCTTTGTAAGGCCTTTTCTAAATGAGCAATAGTAAAAGTTTTGTAAACATTTTTTCAAAACTTCATTTATGTTAAAACCAAGAAAGCTGTCACCTCATGGCACAAATCCTGGAGACTATAGACAAGCACAGAATAATTTTAATTCAATTGAAGAAATCAGTCTTCAAGCCAGTAATCAGCTCTTGTGATCATCCTGAAATGTTGTGGGGACAAAAGAAGAAAAGGAACAATGTATAAAAGATAAATGAAGACAATACAATCGAGTATTTACTCAATGAGATGGAAGAATTACCACAACTATATGCTGTCAAGGACATTTGTTTAAAGGCAGAGTGAAAAAAGATCTCTATGAAACGGGCTAAGAAGACAATGAAAAGAAACCATTGAGGGGAAAAAAATTGAAGGTAGACCAGTGTGGTAAGCTGAAAATCTGGAGTAGCCGCAGTAAGTAGAATTGACACTGCCGAAAAGGAAACAAGCATAGCATATAGGTTTAAAAATCATTCCGAATGCAGAAAAAAGAGACCAGTAAGACTAAGATGCTGATATACAGAGACCAAAAGATCATAACTGGTACATATGACCAAGAGAACAGTAGCTAGGGGAGAATTCTGTGTAAATTGTCTCACCTGTAATATTGATATGTGGATTGTGTGCATGTGCATGCATGTGCATGCTCGCACATGCATAGGTTGTACTCTAAAACTCAGGTACCCTTGAGACTTTGAGGATAAAGACTTAGATATCCTATCTGACCAGGTCACAAATACAAAGACATTTTACAAAGTGCTGGCATTTGATGACTGTTATATATAGAAGTTAGACAATAAACCAGAACAATTGGACCAGTAAGCAATATCAGAACCAAGAGAGAAAAGATTGACATTGTCCAAGATTTCAATTTACTTGGATCTATTATCGATGTCCACGGAAGCAGCAGTCAAGAAATAAATGCTATATTGCTGTCACTTTGAAGACTAAGGTGTGCCTGACCCAACCCGTAGTATTTTTTCAGTTGCCTCGTGTGCATGCAAACTCTGGGTCGTGAACAAGGAAGACCAAAGAAGTGAGGCTCTGGAATTACGGTGAGGAGGAGGAAGGGTATTGAGATTGCCAGGGACTGCCAGAAAGCGAACAGATTCATCGTGGCTGACGTACAACCAGAATGTTCCTCAAGTGAGGGGGGTGGGACTCTTGAATTCTTTGATCATCTTATCAGGAAGATTAGTCCCGAGAGGATCTTAGCAAAAAAGAGGAAGACTCAACAAGATGATTGACACAGTGTCCGCCACAATGGATTCAAGCATGGCAATGATTGTGAGAAGGTTGCAGGACTGGTCACTATTTTATTATGCTGGGGACAGACAGGTGTGCTGTGAGTCAGAACCATTGATGGCGCCTAACAACAGCAAACAGTGAACAGCAGGAGCAGAGCATGTACAGAAAGCAAACAAGCAACAGGAACAACTTTTAGGTGGATTGGTCATCACCTCCATGAATACTCCACTTAGCATCATGAGAGAGGAAGGAATTCACTTGTGTCTTAAAGGTGTTCAACTTGCCCTTTTCAAATTGCCCATGTCTAGTCTGTGTGTCTGGGTGAGCACACTGGCTCACGCGTCAGCCCAGCAGGAATGTCGTCTGCTCAGGTCAGATGCGTTGTGGCCATGTTCATTTTCTCTGTCTCCTAGCCTTTTCTTGCCAGGGCCTTGTCCCCTGTGCTTGCTTGTTCAGCTGTCAACTAGCAGCTTCGGAATAACCTTGGGCCAATACCAACAATACCTGCTTTGTGACAGCTCTCGAAGCCAAACTGTAAAGTGTCTTTCTGAGCCTCTGCAGACAACTTCTTGGCTCTTGAGACAGGCCTCTTCTCACCCTTCTCCGGGCAGCTTTCTTTTCAGCCTTCTCAAGAGAACCTTCCTTTTGGTCCAGTTGAGACAGGCCCCGCCTCTCAGTACAGCTAGATTATCTGCTATTGCCAAAGACAGACAAGCACTGCTACTTGCTCTGCTCAAGCGTCTGCCTGCATGGACCCCGGCTGTAGCTTCTTCCCCTTTACAGAGCTCTGTTGGAACCTTCTGCCCGGAGGTGCCTAGCTGGACAACATTGCCCATCACCACTGTCTTCTCTAATGCCAGTTTGCCCACTACTGCCATCTGCTAGTCTCGTGGTTCCTGCAGCATAGCCATGACCACCATTTCTGGGGTGCTTGGCTCTGCTGTGCTTGCCGCCATTTCTCTTGGTCTTGAGTGTTGCCGGAGCTCAGTACAGCCTTTTCATTTGAATCTGGGAGGTTCTTAGCACAGGACTCCAGGTCAAGAGCATTCATTTATGTAGAGACGATCTCATCTCTTATGTCATATCAAAATGGATTGTTATAGGTGTAGACAAAAATATTTTGTCCTGTCATTTCCAAAACTAGCAGTGTGGTCATACTTTGGAATGTGACATGTGGGAGAATAACCATTAATGTGTATAGCTTTGGGCCCCTACATTGATGCCTTTGGGGCATGTGTTTGCTGCTTCTTAGGGCAGGAAGGCGGTTCTTCATTTTGAATGTGGAGAACAGTATTTTTTCTTCCATTGTTAAAAGAAGACCAGAGTCATAAGAAAAGCTTGAAAGCATAAAGGGTGGAGAGAGCTTGGCGATGGGAAGGACGATCCAAGAGCCTGAAACAACTTTGTTTTATAAAAGGGCCCTCAGTGACACAAACAGTTTGTGTTGGACTAAGACCTGAAGGTGGGAACTCGAATCCACCCAGCTGTACTGTGTTAGAAAGACCTAGTGTTTCCTCCTGGTAAGATTTTAGCCAAGAAAACGGTATGGAGGAAGTCCACTCTGCATCATGTGAGATCCATGTGAGTTGGAGTGGCAACAGGCAAAAGGGAGCCCTAGTGGTGGTGGTGAGTCTCTATCTATCTATCTGTCTGTCTGGTGGATTATGGGTGCTGACCACCAGGTCAAAATCACCAGCTGCTCTGGGAGAAGATGAGGCTTTAGGCCCTCCACTCTGGATGCCACAGAGGCTGCAACAGCGGCTCAAGCTTAGCAACAATGAGAGGGCGGCGCAGGACCGGGCACTGTTTCCTTCTGTTGCCCCCAGGCTCTTTCTGAGTTGGAACCAACTCGATGCCACCTAACAACAAGTCCCCTAAAGATTTAGTTTCAGAGACCCATGGGTCATTTCTTTACCTTCTTGGGGCTCTTACAGCTCTTACCATAACCCATACATAGATCCATTGTGTCAAACCTATCTGTACATATGTTGTCATCATCTTTTTCAAAACATTTTCCTTCTACTTGAGCCCTTGGTATTTTTTCTTTTAATACCAAGCCAGTTTTGATCATGTTTTATGCACTGATAGTAACATTCTATCTTTACAAATTGTTGTTCCTGAAGGAGAAAATGTTCTCTCTGTTCTCCTGAGGAAAAGATGTGACAGAGTTTTAAAACTATTGTTTATTAATTATTAACTCAATTGTTAATATAATATTAGCCTATGCTTTTTCATCTATTTTCAGTTGACAAATTGTTATAAAATCATTTTAAACTCTCATGCTCAAAAGATAAGAAATGAAGCTGAGGGATCATGGGATAACGGCTAAAGCAATGCCAAGCAAAGAATTTCCAGAAAGGCTGCATTTATTTCTCACCATAAGGTTAATAGCCAGCGTCTAAGAATAGTGCTACATGCTCATTCATCCACTCCTGTCTTCTGGGTACTATTCAATGTCTGCCTTGTGCATTTGCCTTTTTAAAAAAGTAGTTTCATTATACTCTTAGTTCCCTGTGTGCAATTGTCATAACTTACCAGGTAGTATCAAGCAAGAATGCTTACAGTAGGGAAACCCAAACACCCAGCCCTCTGCTTTTGACTCGATTCTGACTTGCAGCCACCCTATTTGTTACAGATGGAACCGCTTCATAGGGCTTTCTTGGCTGTAATTTTTATGGAAAGAAATAGCCAAGCCTTTCCTCTGCACGCCTGCAATGAGGATCTGAACCACCAACCTTTAGAACAGCTAACCTTTAGGCAAGCGATCGTCACATTTCCTATCAGAAAAGAAGGTAACATAATCACTTTGATAATCACTTTAAGATGTTTCTGTCATTAATGTATGATACGCCCTTAGTTTAAAATACTTTCAAACACCAGGTTTTTATAAAGTTTTGAGCAGGAGGTAATTTCAGCAACTCTCTTAAAAGGTCTCTGACCTGGTTTCTAGCCTTCTGTCAACTAATAGCCATAAGTAGAAAAAGACAAATGTTTGAATATTCAGGTTTATTTAGAAGATGGCCTATAAGATAGCTGTTTTATTCTGAAGACCGTTCTTTCTATTGTTACTTTCGTTTAGATCTTAAGGCTAAAACACATCACTGTTATGCCAGCAAAGAAAAATGTTGCTGCCGCCAGACGTGAAACATACACGGTGGATTTTATTAAAAAGCAGATTGAAGATTTCAACATAGGAAAGAGACATTTAGCCAACATGATGGGAGAAGATCCAGAAACTTTTACCCAAGAGGACATTGATGTAAGTACAGTTCCTTTGTTGGAAAAGTAATTAACTGTAGCGTTTTTGATACTGAAAGCACTTTTCTTCACCACAAGCCCCTTATCTCCGTGTAAATTTTAATCAAACTGTCAGAATAGGGAAAAACGCTACTACGTTGCAAATTGGAACCATGGTTTGGAAGAAAGATACTGCTTTCATTTGAAGCATTATAGAACGTGGTGAATTGTAGAATTTAGCTAGAAATAGATATTTTCCTTGATTCAAGGTCATAGGAGCCAATGCGTGTGTATGTTCTATTTGTGAACATTGATCCTGTTCTGTAGTCTTAGACTCAGCTTCTTGCAAAATGATAAAATGGATGGTAATGAAAATTAGTCACGTTTCTAGGATAGCGCACAAACCTCCGCCCAAAGCTTTAATCTACCGTAGCATATATTTTAATTTTCAAAGTGAGAGCATATTTTAAAATGATAGAGAATATCTTAACTCATACTCTACTTTGCAGTTATTTTATTCTTGATAAAAGCAGTAATATTGTTAGGTGTGTGTGTGTGTGTATATATATATATATATATATAAAACTAGATCTACCAAGGAAGCTAGTGACGGAGTTTAAATTTAACAGTAAGCTTTGAAGTTTGTCCTGATTTTTAAAAAGGATAATATATGACATCCCATGTTTTATATTGAACTGAAGATTCTATACTTTTACAGGATTTTAATCACACAATGATTTTGTACATTGAGTTTAAGCTTCTTTATGAAGGTATCTTTTTGTTTACCTTTCCTATTACAAATGTGACTGAAGTAACTCTTCGAGATGTCAGGTTAGCATGTGAGATTTTATTTGGTATTTCCCCAAATAAGTATTATTTCTTACTGCCCTTTGACATGTTGTTGCCTGAGGGCTATGGCCCTCCTAACCTCTCTCTTCCTTTTGAGTCTTTATGGCCATTACATAATGTTAAGAATATGAGATTCCATTCTATGATTTACTTGTATGATCGGTAGTGTAGGGATTGCTCCATATTTAGAAGAGGAGACAACTACAAACAGACTCAGCCTCATGTTGAATTAAGTGTTAAAAAGCAGATAGTCTAAGAGTATCCTTTGAACCTCCTGTTCTTTTTTTTTTTTTCATATTTGTTTTATTTCATAGAAAATAGATACCTGGCAGTATCCAGAATGTAGATTTTTTAGCTAGAGACATAACTAGTATGTGTGTACTCAAACATTTGGCTTTTTAAAAAATGATTATTGAATGAACAATAACCCCCTCCATTTTATAATGTACCCTTTAAAAAGGGAGAGAGGGAGCAGCATCCTGCTACAGAGTCAGACTACAGTTTGTTTGCTTGTTTCCTAATAGGGCTATGATATCTACTCCCATAAGTCATCGTTCCTGATAGTAGTTTCTGTACCTTTTTCTTTTTATTCGTTTTTGGGTACAGGTTTATTGAGATACAATTCATGTACTATACAGTGCACTCCTTTAAAGTCTGTGCATCACTGGATTTCAGTCTATTCACAGACTGGTACAGCATCACCACAGTCAAGTGCAGAAATTTTTATCATACCTAAAAGGAGCCCTGCACCCTTAGTTACTTCGTGTTTCAGGGGCACAAATGCCATAAGTGGTAGCTTTAAAAATGGGATTTATTCCCTCTTCTTTTTTCAACCATTCAGACCACTACTAAGGCTTGAGGGGTAAGGAATCTGGAGGGATTTGGTGTGTTTGCTTTTAAAGGAACATACCATGTATGTTTATACAACTCATCCCTAGAAATGAAATCAACAATAATGTCCTGTTTGTTTTTTTTAAGAAGGAGGAGGAAAAATAAAATTGAAATGGACTTGGAGTTTTTGTGATAAGTTCATGTAAAACACACACAGACACACACACAACCCCAAATTTATTTTCCTAGATTTTTCAGGCGAAAAGTCTCAGTCAGGGACTTGGCCATGTCTCTTCTTCCTAGTAAATAGTTCTGAATGTTTGCGCGCTTTGGCTTGTTGAGCGTCCTCACAAGGCATCTGTCATCCTCTGTGTTTGTTGTGCCTTTGACCCTAGAAGTGATACTGTTGGGCTTCATTCTGTTTTATTTTGTTTTTGAGGTGTTTTTTAAACTCAGAAGTGATTACATTTAGGATCAAACCCTATGACTTCATTGCAATAAAATAAGAAAAATTCTGTTTCAAGCAATACTGCATTCACAGGTGCAAGGACCAGGAATTCCACATTTACTTAGGGGGAATAAAATTTACTTCCTGCATTCTGTCCTCCATCCCATCCTTGGCCTAGACAACCTGCAATCTATTTTCAATCTTTATAAATCACTTATTTTGAGCATTTTCTGTAACTAAATAATATGATAGGTACAATTTTGCGACTGGCTTCTTAAAGGTAGCATGCTTTTAAGGTCTGTCCATGTTGTATCATGTATCAGCACTTTATTTTACTTTGTTGCTGTGTAATACTTTGTTTTATCTGTATACCACATTTTCTTTATCTAACTATCAATTGAGAGACACTTCATTGTTTTTACTTTTTATCTAGTATGAATGCTGTCGTTGTGAACCTTGTGTACAAAGATTCGTGTGGACATAGGTGCTCATTGCCATCGACTCAGTGCCGACACAGTGACCCTATAGGATAGGCTTGAACTGCCCTATGAGTGTCCCAAGACTGTAACTCTTTACCATAGTAGAAAGCCCCATCTTTATCCTGAAGAGCTGGCTGGTGGTTTCGAACTACTGATGTTTCAGCTCGCAGCCCAATGGGTAACTACTATACTACCAGGGCTCAGGGGAGCTTCAAAAGGTTTGTAGCAAAATGGAATTACGAAGAGCCGAATTTTCCACAGACTTCGTGAAGCCCCTTCGTATTTTTATATAGACCTTGGTGTCATATTGTATGTCATATGATAACTTAATGTTTAACTTTCTGAGGAGCTGCCAAGCTGTTTTTCGTGTGGCTGTAATTTTTACAAACCCTTCTGCTACTTATGAGGCTTGAATTGCTATTGCTATTGCCATTCTTCCCGCCCAGATCATTCCCAGTGAGTGCTGGGTGGTGTCTCCTTGTGGCTTTGCTGTGCGTTTCCCTGATGACTAGTGACACTAGCAATATTTCAAATACATGTTGGCCATTTGTACATCTTTGTAGAACGTTTTTTTTCAGATCCTTTGGCCATTTCCCCCTCCCACCTAGCCCTGCCAATTGTTTTTATTTTTTAGACTCATTTTAGGTTTATGGAAAAATTGAGCAGATAGCTCCCTTATATAGTAGCCCTTTCCCCACACAGTTTTTGTTGTTAATATCCTCTTTGAGAGTGGTACGGTTACAGCTTAGAAATGAATCTTTCTCTGCCTTCAGGTTGATTCCGACTCATAAAAAGCGAATGCTGATTCAATATTAGTGACGGAAGCTCAGCGTTTACATTTGGGTTCACTCTCTGTATTGAACAGTTTTGTGGGTTTTGACAAATGTCCTCTGTTATGATATCATTTAGGATTTGTGTATCCAGATTCAGTTGATTAATATTTTGTTGAGGATTTGATATTTGTAATTAATACTTGTCTGTAGCCAGTACTTTCTTGTAATTTGGGGAGTGTGATTTTTGCTATCAGGGTGATGCTGGCTGCATAAAATGAGTTGGGGAGTACCCTTTCTCTTGGAGCTGTTGGGGGTTTATCAAGAGTGTTGTTGCGAGCTTGGGCTGTTGGGTAGATTTCACTAGGGAAGCCACCTAGACCTGGGCTTTTCTTTGTGGGTAGTTTTTTAAAAGTTACTTGGTTTTTGACATGGCACTTCCCCATCTGCGTGTGGCCTGTGTGCCCCCGTGTAACTGTTCTCAGCAGCAGAAGGCTCCTGTTACCCAACTGAGCTCGTGAAGACATTTTTTTAGCTGTTCATTCTGCTCTTTTGGGTGTGCATGGACTAGACTTAGCTGATTGAGAGAGACTGATCACAAGCAGTTTCATAATCGTAACTGAGGCATAAAGATGGCCATAATATAGGCATATTAAAAATGAATTATGTTATTTGGAGTGGATAGTTCATTGCTTATATCTTTAATCAGAATTTAGGCAGAAGTAGACATGTTCCATAATCTAATTCAGCTACTTAGTTAAAAGTCTAGGCTCACTGGAGGATTTTCACATAGCTAAATTGGTGCCATTGCATTCATATTAAGTCATTATCTATTTTGTATATTTTCCATACTACTTATCCAATTACTGACACAATGCTAGCTGAAGCCATCTAGGAAATGTATTTAAGCAAAACAACTTTGAAAACTTTTTGTATACATTAAAATATCTTTAAATTCTTAATCTATGTATTTCATTTTGGATCTCAAAATAAGCAGTTTCCAGAGAGGAGATATTTTAACAGCATTGTAAATGTAAATGACAGTTAACATGTACTTTTGAAACGGCTTATTTGTATTAATGTATGGTGTAAGTGGCTTTCATGTTAGTTTGTGACATTGTACTAATAGAACATAATAATCATTTCCCTTGCACTTACCCAATAATGAAATAATAAAATAATATGAAGAAATGCTTGGAGTCTGTAAGATCTGAAAGGAAGCTGAGTTCCTCTTGTGATGAGGCCTGGAAATGTGGAACAGGTACAGTTTTGTTCTTCAGTTGCTCTTTCTTTGCAGTGAGTTCATGCTGGTTGAAGTGACGTGGAAAGACCTGGGAATCGGAGAAGCCTTGCACAGTCACTAGCCAGCGTGGTTTTGAGTTAAGCCACTCCCTGTCATTCATCTTTCTCATCTCTGAGATAAAAATAAGGATGCCTGCTGTCCACCCCCGAAAAGAACTAACAAACATAACTAAAGATGAATGTGAAGCATTATTTTCATTTCTGCTAGTAGCAAAAAATATCACCTGAAACATTCCCTAGTTCTTTCATTGCTTTTGTCATACTTATCTCCCATGCCACCTGAGCAGTGGGAGAATTATCTGGAATGCTGCTGAGTACATTGATATATTGTTGGTTAGTTTAA